TATATCTCCTCAATATATGTTCCATTCTATATGCATCCGAAGAAGTGGGCTGTAGTCCACGAAAGCTTATGCTCTAATAAATTTGTTAGTCTCTAAGGTGCCACAAGTCCTCCTGTTCTTCTTTTTGCGGATACAGACTAACACGGCTGCTACTCTGAAACCTGCCCTATTTGAGTAATTTGTCCTGAGCTGGCACTCTCAGTTGGGTTCCGCCAGAACCGCATTGTCACAGGGGGTAGCGGAGGCTGGCAGTCTGCGTGGGGGCACTGGCAGCGGGGGAGGCCAGGCCGCCTGGCCCAGGATTCCCAAGATGGACTTGGCTGAAAGTCACTGATTTCTGTGCTAACAAGCTCTGCCCTACGCTGTGATCCTGTGGGCTAATAAACCTTCTGTTTTCCTGGCTGGCCGAGAGTCACAGCTGACTGTGGAGTTGGGGGGCAGGACCTCTGGCTGCCCCAGGACCCCGCCCGGGCGGACTCACTACGGGAAGCGCACGGTGTGGAAGGGGTGTTGAATGCTCCGAGGTCAGACCCAGGAAGTTTCTTGCCCTGGGGACAGTCTGCTCCGAGAGAGGAGACTCCCCCAGAGCCCTGCCCGGCTGCGTAGGGAGCAGCTCCAGCATCGCCCGGGGCCTCCGGGGCAGAGTGAGCATCGGGCCGCGGCTCCCTTTGGGTGCTGGGGCAGAGCCCGGCGCAGGCACGTGACACGGAGCAGCCGGGGGCACGGGCTCAGGCCTTTATTTGCAGAGTCCAGGGTTGCTACAGACGCTGGCTGGGGCAGAGCCTGGAGCCGCATGAGGGGGCCCCTGCCAGGTAGGGCCCGCACCTGGCTGCCCACTCACTCCCTAGCTCACTGCTGGGCCCCACGGCACTGCCCGCCCAGGAGCCCAGAGCACCCTGGCTGGCTGGCAACTGGCACAGCCCATGGCCAGGGTGGGCACCGGCAGGGCACAGAGCAGGCTGCCAGCAGAACTCCTGGCTCCCCCTATGGGGGGCAAAGGGTATGGGGCTGTGGGGTGGCTGGGCCATCCCTGCCAGTGGAGGGGCCTGCATGCCAGCGCTGAGCCCCACGGCAGCACGGGCACTTGGCTCTGCCCTCCCTGTGAGGCATTGCCAGCCCCATCTGCTGGGGTGTGTAGGAGGGGCAGGAAATAATCCCATGACTGTCTGGGATGCGGGGGCAGGGGCCTCATCACACCATGAACCTGTGTCCCCAGGGGGGGCCCTGTGGAGGGGGGGTGTCCTTGGGGGGCCCTGTTAGGGATGTCTCTCTGCCCCGGGTCCCTGTGGAGGGGGGGTGTCCTTGGGGGGGCCCTGCTGGGGGTGTGTCTCTGTGCTGGGGGCCCTGCTCCCTATTTCGATTCAGGCAGAGAAGGGGGACGAATGGGACCCAAACCCCTCGGCCATTTGTCTGGTCTGCATTGCAGGGGGAAGGGGGCAGGCACCGCTCCCCCAGGGGAGCCCCCAGCTGCTGCCAGCGGCCCACTGAGCCCGTCCAAGGGTGGCCAGTGCCCGAGGTCACAGGCCCAGCCCAGCAGGCATGGTCAGCCCCCAGCCCTGGGGGGACAAGGCAGCCCGGCGGGGGAAGGGGGGAGCAGGACACTGCAGCCCAGCGGGGGCACCGCAGAGGAAGGCGCGGGGGTCCAGACTGGCAGTCCGGACTGGGGGAGGCACCGGGGGGGTTCAGACTGGTGTGGGGGAGGGGGCCACCGCGGGGGTCCAGCCTGGCTGTCCGGCCCGGCAGGCGGCATCCTGGCACTAGCAGGTGGCGTAGGCATTGGCCTTCTCCCGGATCTCCTCCAGCAGCCCAGAGACCCGTCTCTCCAGCGCCTGCAGCTGCGTGGCCTTGGCCTCCAGCACCTCCTCGCCGGCCTCGAAGCGCCGCTCCAGCTCTGCAGACAGGCGGAGACAGCGGTGAGCCCCCCGCCACGGACGCAGCACCTACGGGGACCCTGCCCCCCCATGCCGGGCCCTCCGCACGCCACAGCCAGCCTGGCCCGCAGCCCCACGCGGCACGTGCCCATACCCCTCCCAGAGCACCCGTCTGAATGGGGCCCGCAGGGACCCTGGCGAGTGGGGCCAGGCACTGCTCCTGCCGCCCAGCCGCGCGCCCCGGGTACCTTCCAGCCTCCTCTGGCTGCCGCTGGCCTTGTCCAGGAGCTGCTGGGCGTCCTGCAGGAGCCGCGTCGCCCGGAGCAGGGCCTCGCCCGAGGCCCCGGCCAGCCCACCCACCTGGCTCTCCAGTGCCGCGTACCGCTGCCTCACCGCTGCCAGCGCCTAGGGCAGAGGGGCACAGGCTGACACCCGGTGCCAGGCTTGGGGGGGTCCTGCCCCCATTGCCCAGTGTGCACTTCCCCCATTGCCCAGTGCTGCAGTGAGGGGGAGGGGGGCGAGTAGATGCTGGGCATAGGGTGGGGGAAGGGCGTGGGCTAGCAGGTGGTGGAGAGGGTGCCGTGTGGGGGAGGGGCACCAGCAGGCAGGCGGGGGAGGGTGTGGCCTGGGGGAAGGGTGCTGTGTGGTGGAGGGGGGGGGAGAGCAGGGGCTGGCATCCAGGGGCCCAGGGGAGGGGTCACATGCTGGAAGCAGCATTTCCAGGCTCTGCATGGCGGGGCCGGGGGCTCTCACCTGGCCCAGCGCCCCCGTGGCCGACACGGCTCGCTCAGCGTTCTCCTTGGCCTCCTTGGCCAGCCCCCGGTTGGCCCTGGACTTGTCCTGCAGGTCAGCCACCTGCTTCGCCAGCGCCTGCAGGGGTCTCAGCACCCGCGCCTCCTTCTCCTGCAGCCCCCGGAGCCTGCGTTCGGCCTGCGCGGGACACAGGGGGATGGGGCCGGAGCCAGCGGGACGGGGGTGCCCAGGTCCCACCCGTCCCTGCAGCGCGGCCGCTACAGGCTGCCCATGGGGCTGTGGCCTGGTCCAGCCCGTGGAAGCCCCCCTGACCCCCGCCTCCAGGCTGAGAGTCCACACAGCCCCAGCGAGTCCCCAGCCTGGCCCGGCCCCGGGGAGAGCCGCTGGGGACGGGAGGGGAGGGCTCCAGCCAGCGGAGGTAAGTGGGGTTCAGGGCGTGGGGATCAGGCCGTTGTCTGCAGCCAGATGAAAAGAGCAGCCGTGCAGCAGGAAGTCACGGCCGCACCGTCCATCGATTGACATTGAACAACGTCCTGTCGGGCTGGCGGGACGGAGACCCCGTCCTACTGCCCCCACCATCACCAGAGACAGCCACAGCTTCAGCTGGCCACGAACAGCGTCTGTCCGCTCAGCGGGTGTGGGTGGGAAACCCTTGTTCCCCCGTGCGCTGTCAGCGCCCCGTGCCCTGGCGTTCGCTGGCTCCTCTCGGGCTGTGCCGGGATTGGTTGGGAACGTTGTCGCGCTGGGCTAGGATTGGCTAGTAAGATGTTAGGGTAACGACTGGCTACGGCAGAGCCAACCAGAACTAAGGGCACTCCATAAACTGGGCTCCCAAGGGAGTTCTTGGGAACCCATCCAGGCCCCAGCCCCAGGGGAGAGCTGCCCGAGCTCAGCTCTCTGCCCATGACACCGGCAGAGACCGGAGCCCCCCAGATGGCCCTGACCCTGGCTGGCCGCAGGGAAAGGCGCTGGGCGTGGGGAGTGGGAGTAACCGGAGGGTAACACTGGGTGAGGCTCTTTCCCTGGGAAAAGGTCCTGCCCCCCGGCAGCAGCCGTGTGCACCCGGAGCCCCACGCACTGGGAACGGGTGGGTGCCTGAATGTGTGCGGATAACTGCGGGGCAGGACACAGCCTGGCTTGGGGGGGCCACGAGGGTCCCCAGGATGGCAGAGCCCCTCACCTCCTTCACGCTGCTCTCCACGCCCCGGACCGCCTCCTTGGTGCTCCTCAGTGCCTGCCCCGCCATGGACACCTGGACCTTCACTCCTGCCAGCACCTCCTGCGTGGCCGCGATCACCCCCCTCACGCCCACCGCTCGCTCCCTGGGGGGCACAGGACAGCGTCAGCCTCAGAGCCCCTCCCCACCACTGCCCCCAGGCAGCTGCTCCGCCCTGACCCCACAGCGGGAGCTCCCCCCACAGCCACCCCCTGCCCCACTCCCACAGCACCCCCTGCCGGGAGCTCCCCAGAACCGCCCCCTGCCTCGCCCCCACAGTGCCCCCTCTGGGAGCTCCCCCAGAGCTGCCCCCTGCCTCACCCCCACAGCGCCCCCTGCTGGGAGCCCCCCCAGAGCCAGCGTCCTGCCCTGCCCCCACAGCCAGCCCCCATCCCCATCCCCACAGTGTCCCCTGCTGGGAGCTCGCCCCACAGCCACCCTCTGCCCCGCTCCCACTGCACCCCTGCCAGGAGCTCCCAGAACCGCCCCTGCCTCGCCCCACAGCACCCCCTGCTGGGA